CTCCCAGATACTACTGCCCTTTCTACCGTCACGAAGTTTCTCAACAGTAGTGAAGTTGTTGGCATAGATACTGCTGACCAGCCACCCACCTCCCGAGAGACCAGCTCTAGATGTGATGTCAGTAAGCATAAGTCATAGCATCCAAGACTTATCGGATCATTTAATCTTACAAGTAAGTGCTGCTTTGGAGCAAGCCACCAATGCCGCCCTTGCCAGTTGAGCCGCTGGTTCGGCTATCAGCAGCAGCTACAAAGCCAGCTCCGTTCATCAAAGCACGATATCCGCCGCCGGAAACGGCAATACCAATGTTGGGTAAGTCCTTGACACCCTCGGCAACCTGCTTAATATAGGCACTGGCATCAAATCCATCAATATTGGCGCGTTGAAGAAAATCGATCATTGGATCTACGGTCTCCTTGCGCCTCTTTGCAAGCCATGCCGTCTCACGTTCGGATACGGCTCCAGCAACACGAAGCTTGGGCTTGTCCTGAGGGCAGGTTACCGGGGTGGGAGCATAGCCATCTGGCGCGTTGGGACGCGCTCTCGGTGCGAGTATCAAATCATGTTCTTGGTGTTGAGGTAGTCTGATGGGCTCGGCCGACGCGGGGAGTGGGATGTTAAGGAGGGTGAGGGTCAGGAGTGATGACTGCCACGGTTGAAGATGCATTTTAATGAATCATGCAGGTTATTTATGAGATGATATCTGATGCGTTCAAGAAATAAAACGGGTAAAAAAGGAGGTGAAAAGGAGGAGCGAACGAATGAATGAATGAATGATGAGTGACTAAGAATTGAATCGAGATCTCTCCCCCCTCCTCCGAGAAAAAGTCGAACGCAACGAGGGTGAGAAGGTTGAGGTTACGTTTTGGTTGTGACAAAGACAAAGAAAACAAAGTGGATGGTTCCCTGATCACAGGTCAACCTAGTGTAGGACCCAAGCTATCGGAAGCGACGGGAAGACTGCACACACAGAAGTGAAAGAAAAGAGAGCACGGATCTTTCGAAAGCCAAAAAAAAAAAAAGTTCAGATCATGGAGATCATGCGAAACTTTTCATTCCTCTCCTCCTTCAACTACGCCGTTGTGTTCCAGGTTTGCCGTATTTCCGAGAGAGTGGATGGATGGCTTGGAGGGTGGCTGTCTGTTTCGGTCAGGATATCATCCTCCCTCGCAGGTGTCAAATGCCTTAGCCGGGCCCCTCTCTTTAATTCATGATCAAATCAGACGGTGCGATTACCGCGTACGGGCCCCTAAATTCAACTTGATGACCCGACTTACGCAGTAATGCGCACACAGCATTGGATGTTGTTGGTTGAGGCTGAATGGGCGGATCCGAGTGCGGCATGGCTGTTACCCTGCATGTGAATAGGAGATTTGCCCAGAAGAGGAGCTGAGGAGAAATAATCAAAGGGGAGTCTCGGCGAATGGCATGGCAGCAACTTGGATTCCTATTCGGGCTGGTGATCGTCGTTTCAAGTCTCATGCAACCGTTGGCCGCCCGCTAGGTCCCGGCCGATCCGCACGGCTTTTGCTCTTTCCATGGAACGTTTGGGGAACTTTTTTTAAGTTTGCATCCAGCAAGTGGTTCCCGTCGTCTTATCATAAACGTCCAGCCCACCGGTGGTAGTCCGATGATTAGGGAAGTGGCTGCTGAAGGTTTGACGGGCAGGTGGCACAGGGCTAATTTGTTCTTTACAGAAGCAACCCGTGGACGTAACACTTGGCAACCGGTAGCTTGTGGGGAAGCTCAAGGGCCGCTGCCGGGTTGTTTCCAGGAGAGCTCTGCTAATCTTTTTTTAGTCCACGTCATCCCTCTAGATATAGGCACTTCTCAACGCGAGCACTGGCCACTGGCAAGGCATTCTCATTTTCAGTTAAAGAGCCGCCTCCAAGGTGTCCGCATCTCAGCGGCTGGTTGCCGGCCTCTTCCGCCGCTCCGCATTGTTCAATCTCTGGAACCTGGGCCCCACCACTGCGATGGCCGTCTCTCTCAGACCCGAATGTTTGCTTTGCAAAAAACACCACGTTCGTTTCACTGGAAATCTGCAAGATAATCCCTCTCTGAAGGTGCTCTGCTCCGAGTATACAATCGGACTCACTCGGACTCATGCATTGGCGGGCGGCTTAGTGATAGGTTGAAGTAGCCAACATAGTTCTCGAGATGTCTTTTCACAATCCATTTTCGGGTCCCCCTTTTCGGTTATCAAAATGCAGTGGCTTTCTGTAGTTCAGCATAAGCTGACTTGTTAATCCGAAGTGCGAGTGTCTGAGATACACAACAAATACGGAATACTGTCTGTCAAGACGAAGAAAAGCCTGCAGTGAAGCTCGAAACCTCGTTCTTTCCGATTATTGAAAAGACGACGAGTTTGCTACCCAAAACCTCGAATTCTCGAGTTTATCATGAAAGACATTGGACTGGATTGAAGCTTGTTGATATGTATATTTACAAGTTTCCGCATCAATTGTTCGCCTGATTGGGCCAGCAGCCTGCCTGGTATGTGATATCTTCAACGTCATGATCCGAGTCTCGGATCGACGATCGCACAATGACCTAGCCTTGTGGTGGGAAATGCAGCTTCCTTTACCCCTCACCTTCGGCGTTTACACCTCGCTCATTAGGACTCAGTTTCTTTGTCAATATCTTTTGTGTCTCACCACTGTGCACAACAACTGAGTTCGAGGATGTTGTTCTGGTTTCCCTTTATCAACCACCAGGCTGAGGACAACCACGAACCATCGTTCATGTCGAAATATGAACCGGGACCAGTACCCAGCATCGGGCCGTACCTTGCTACAAAGCAAGGACTCTTCTTCATCGAGTGACAAGGTGTGGGCCCATGAACGAATGGTGACCGCATCACAATGTCAGTAGCCTACGAGCTCTCTGCATCTTTCCCATGGCCAAGTCCTGCAGTGAGCCTGGACTGGAGTCCGAGTCTGCAGTGAACCGCGCCATTGGATTTCTCTAATCCCCAATTGTCAAACCATGACTATCGTCGGTTGTCTGGCAAGCCTTGATGCTTAACGGCCGCTTCATCATACCCCCTTTCGACTCACGTCGACCCGGTCACCCGAGCATATATACCCAGAATCAATGCCACTTCATCCAATATGCTCATGAAAAAAGAAATGAGAATCACAGAATATAACCCATAACTCAACTACAACGGGCCAACCACCTATAGTCATATATACCGGCGTCGACACACTCCTCACACCAGGCGGCTATCAGGCCTTTGACGCACGTCGACACCCCCTTGCCCAACATGTCTCTCACAGTCACCTCGGAGACGTGCAAGACCTCGGGCCACACCAACGATGAGTCGAACCAGGTTTCAATAAACATGGTCATACGCCAGGACCCATTCTACGTCACACTCGATGCGTCTGCTCTCTTAGCCTTATCCGTTCTGCTTGTTCTGGGTATGCATTTTATCGATTTGAAAGTCCTCGAGTTCCTTATCATAGCCGTCCCAGTCGCCCTTCTCATTCACAACGACTATCTTAACTTCTTGAAGCTCGGGCCAGGAGGTACTCCTCCAACACCATCAGGCTACGCCAGATTGACCTGGTACCGTCTCTTTACACTTCGGGACCCATTCACTGCGCCTGACCGCGACACTGTCAAGCAACCTTCAGCCGGAATCCTCAGTGACCTCCCTTACCGGCCCGGCCCACGACCAAGTGTTGCCGGTCTAGCTCCTCAAAGACAGTTAGATCAACATGGCTCTGTGCCGGAGTACAATAGGCTCCGCGAATCGCTCGAATCACTTACAGTACGGGAACCGAAAAAGTTTGTGACTGCCACCTCCTGTCTCGAAAAGCACGGGTTCGCCCTGTTTTCTCGGCACCCCCTGAATGTCTGCGGTAATGGTGAGATTTGCCATATCCATAACTCGGATAGGTCAATGCACATGAATCTCCACCCGGACGATATCAAGGAGATTTTGGAAAAGGGCTGGGGGCAGAGGCATCCCATGGCCTGGAAGGGATGGATCAGGGCACCTGTGCCAACAACTTTTACCATGATTTATGCGCCCAGGAGTGAGTTTACTATGTGTACGAATCAGTAATCATGAGCTATTGGCTGACATGGTGTAGACGAGAGCGACCTCCGAATTGTCTGTCGTATCATTGAAGCAGCCATTTGGTATGTCAATGCCGCGAAGGTTGATGTTATTCTTGAAGGCGAACAAAAGTAAACTTGTCCAAAGGTGAAAGACCTGATTGTCAAGTCTTTTCTATGCGGGATTTCTTGGACGCTTGCAACTTCATCATCATCTTCTGGTCTCTAAAATCGTGTTGTTTATCAATATTCGAGGAGTCGGCTTATCGGATTTGTTGGGCATGGAAAGCGCGGTGTTGATCAGGGGTCCCAATGGTTTCTGAAAACCAGATTTCAGAACTCTATACAATCTAAAATACTATACCCATTATTCGCTCAAGTTTCTCAGTAAGTCATCGACTCACCGACTTCGTCAGTCACAATGACCTCTCCATCCATCTCAACTTTCATGAACTGGGCAATTACATCCAGAGTCCCACCAAAAGAAGAAACTGACGCACAACCTTTTACATGACTGCTCCCGGGAGACATTGGATCAAGCTTTTCATAGGAAAAAAAAAAGAAGCTTCCTGTAAGGGAGGAGATATCAGAACGGGGCCACCCGGGGATTGAACCCGGGACCTCTCGCAGCAATGTTTAGAGTGAACCCTAAGCGAGAATCATACCACTAGACCAGCGGCCCTTGTTAAAGAATTGATACCTTTTATTCTAGTAAATTCATGTTAAAACTAAGGGATTTTGTTGGTTGGGCTTATCTATGTGTGCGGTTGTTGTGTTGTGGTTGTGGTTGTGTGGTGGACCTCCTAGGGGAACCGGGAATGACTCAATGCGGCATGAGTGGCTAATGTGTAATGTGAGGTGGGAATGGTCTCAAACTCTTCAACACTGTTAGCAGGGCAGGACAACATCAATCCCTGAACACACACAAAAAAGGGCCGCTGGTCTAGTGGTATGATTCTCGCTTAGGGTTCACCCTGAAACATAAAAACATTGAATTGTTTGCGAGAGGTCCCGGGTTCAATCCCCGGGTGGCCCCGTCCGTTGAATGGAAATATCTTCATATTGAAATGATTTCTTCTTCCTTTTTTTTTTTTTTTTTCTCTCTCTTTTCTTGCTTTGTTCTCTTTTTGGGTTTGGTGGGGGTCTTGTGCCCACTCAAGTTGAGACTTCGTTGAACTGAGAACCTTGATTGCTCAAAGGGGAGGGGGGTGGGGGGGGGGGGGGGGGGTAGCGTAAAGCTAATGACCATTCATATCTGAAGCCATACCCACGACACGGTATGGTGTGTGTACGGTATGTGTACGTGGTATGTGTTTGTGAATCATTAAAGTTACCAATGGTTATGAGGAGGTAAAGTATATATATATTTATATACCCTCTTGTAATGGTGTTACTTCCTGCGTTACCTGCGTTGCCCTGTTACTTCGGGGTATTGTGTGATAAAGCCTCTAAAAAGTCAGTTTAAGTTCTTCCGGGGAGAAATTCAATGTGATGTAGTAATACCTGGTTTGTTGATAGGATATGAAAGGCGGGGTCTGTGTCGGGATTATTATCTAGGACTTGAATACGGGCTTATTCAACTGACCTTAGATCGTCTAAGTAGTTCTGGTATTAAAGAGGATAAATAATATCTCTCGGTCTCCAACAAAAGAGAGAGAGAGAGACTGGATTTGTGTCCAGATATCGAGGTACATGGATGTGTCTATTCTGATCAAGACACACCTTGGTCCGCAAAAGTGTTTGGTGACCTCGAAAGTTGGGTGTCCAAGCGACCCTGGTGTAAATAGAATAGAAATCGTTCCTTGAATTCAAGATTTTTTTCATCTTTCGTTCCTTTAGACTATTTACATAGTCTTAGAGGTAAGGGGGTAGGTATATGATCTATAAACCTTCTCGACAACAACAGACGCTCAATAATCCCATACCATAAATGAAGTCAAAGCCAAATCATAGATTCGACGCTTAACAAGGAAAAAGCTCCCCACGCCATGAACCTACCCAACTTCACCCACCTATGTCCCCGGAAAGTAGTCAGACATTCTGAAAAGGGCTGGCTCATCCAGTCGCCCAGTTCCCAAAAATTGTAGCAAATAAAAACGGGGCCCACTGGCAATACACGCCTTGACAAGATCGTTGCCTTTCCTCATGCTTCAAAAGGAGCGCGGAGCTAAGCTGTAAGCTTACCTGAGGGCAAGCCTCCAGACTCCCAATCCTCTCTTCGCTCGATGATTCATATCCTCGTGATGGCTTCGTTCTAGTAGTACTGGCCCTGCAAATACTGACTAGGTTCTCCCGATTTTCGTGATGGCTCCCAGCCAAGTACCGACAACCGGCAACCGGCAACCGGCAACCGGCACTGACACTGGCTTGACTTCTCTGCTTGGCTCCTGCCCTCCTGAGAAGAATCGTGGACTTGGAGGATGTTCTCGCTTATGGCCATGGCTTACAGTGCCAAGATTCTACCATGTGGCACACATGTGGCATTGATTGTGGCGGCCAACGGCTCCTCAGAGAACTCTGTCAACGGCTAATATAAAAGAATAGACTGTCAACCGCTAATTCAAAGGAAGAGAATCTCCTGTCCGGTTTTCCATTTCAAGCAATGTTTAAATCATGAAAGAAAAGACATAAGAAAAGGGTGACAGCTCTTCTCGTCACCGAAACGTATCCCTATAAGGCCCTTCAACCTTAACATCCTTGATCCCTTCTGGCATCGAACGCAACCATTCCGACCATGGGTCCAAGTGAAACGTGTTTTCTGAAAGTGTAAAAGTGAAACGGATATTAGCACCGCCTGTTGGCGACTCAGGTGTATAAACTGATCCGGACCCCATGCCCTTGGAAAGGGGAGATAAAGGAATCGATGGCAAAACTTTGTTGCTGGATTGCTGCAAAAATATTGGCGTGGGGACGCTCGAGACAATCTCCTTCTCCGGGTCGTGGTTCTGAACAAACTTTGCGTATTCCGACAAAAGATTCGCATGGAGACTGGATGCTGTGAATGGATCTCTGAACTTCTGAAGTGCTCTCGTCCTGAGCTGGTCGGCTATGATTCGCGCGAAAGAGCCTCTTTTCAGTAGCTCAACGGGATCCTGACCGGCCGATGCTGCGATTACCTCCAACATTCCTTTTGAACGGGCCTTTTGATACATGGGGTAATAAGCGCAATCCATGATCAGCAAAGAATCGGTACAAACGTTTTCGAACAGTTGCTGAATGCCCTGCCATGGGATACCAGATTCAGGGTTGGCTGTCTTGGAGCTGTTGAGCTTGGAGGTTAGTCATTGGCAAAGAGACATACAGCGACACCGGAAGTAAAAATTACTAACCTTGCAAGGATAGTATCTCGATCACCACCGAGGTAGCTATGACCACTGTAAAAGAAGATCTTCAAAACATCGCGCTCATTGTCACCCATGAGCCAGTTGATCACCCTGCTCGTCAACCAAGTCGCAGATTTGTCCTTTCCATCAGAATTTGTCGGTATCAACACTTCAATCGTCTTGTAATTGTAATGGGTTTGGAAGACCTCAGCCAACTCTTGCATTGCCTTTTTGACATCGTCATCCTCATCATCCTGCCAGCACGCCATAAACACCGAGACACGAGCGTAGCGGCTACGAAGAGGATTCGCTGCGATCCGTGAAGCGCTTCCCTGGAGGTCGGCCCTAAATGCATCCTGCCCAGGTATAGGAACCATGTTAATTGGCTTGTGTAGTCGCGGGCTAGAAGGTAAGGGTGTTCTGCCTAGGACTGTTGGAGGGTCAAACCCGCCATGCGGGGACTGCTCAACCTCCATGATGTCGGCGGAATCATGGCTGAAAGACTGTCGGCCAGTGATAGAAAAGCCCGGGCTAATATTTCGACTGCCCTGCCTAACAGTAGCTATCTCAGGCATGCGTTCGTTAATGACTGCATCCCAAGACGTGTTTCGATGTGCTGGGTCGCACTAGGTTTATAATAGTCAGCATGTACGTAAATACATGGCCAAAAGATGGACAGGGGGCAACTTACAGCTACTCTCCGTTTTTTGCAGCTATCACACGCACCAATCTTTCTTATCAAAGACGCCCGTTTCCGTTGCTCGCCGGTCAAGGGTCCCGTACGTCTTCTTGAAGAGCTTGGCCGTCGTGCCTGATCGCCTTCGGAGCCTTTGCTGATGGAAAATCGAGCCTGAGAAGCAGCAAGACTCCCGGGCGAAGGTTCAAGGCTATATGAGGTCGTGACCGTTTCACCGGAGCCCTGAGTTGATATTGTAGTCGCGAGCGTGGCGGTTGATGAAGCCGTATCCTTCCGCCCCGGCTCCTGCTGTGCATGGTCTCTGATACCGTCGAGTCCTTCAGTGGATTCAGAACTATCATTGGAACTCCTCCTCCCTGGACTCCCACCCCGTTGCAAGTCATCGCCCGTTTGAGAAGCCTGCCCTGGGCTGGAGGTTTGATCCATGGATGGAGTACTGCTCTTGTCGAAAACCTATATACGAAACGTAGACAACGGGCGTACACTCCATTGATTGCCGCTGACCCAGCGCAGGCCAGGCCCAGGGCCCAGGCGGGTGAGCCTTCTCAACCGGCCTGATCGTTGGCAGTCCGCGGCAACGGTGATCGATTCAAAGTTCCGTCGATATCGGAGGTATCAAACGCTGTGTCCTAACCGGACCACTTGAGACGGGCAGAAGAGATAAATGGCGCCAAATAGAGGGGGAACCTGTTCACAGAAAGAGTTTGTGGAGATCCAGAGCTTTCCGGAGAACTGTTAGGAGGCAGGATCTGGATGTTTGTGGAATAAGTCTTGATGGCGGGATTAATGTATCCAAACTCTGGTCCCAACTGCTGATAAGATTTATTCGTAGATACTGTTTCCGGGAAACTTGACCGTGGCGTTCGGGTTCTGAAGGTCTGCACCTAACACTGACCGAGGACGCCGAAATACGGAGGAGGGGCACCACCGGGATCCGTGCCGGGTGCTTTCTGGGTAGGGTGATGGGGACGGGCACCCAGCGGTCCAAGAAGTGAAATATGATACCGGTTGAAGACGATATGCCCCAACATTCAAGGGGTGCTAACGTGATAGCAGATTACTGATTGGGCCTCGATTTTCCCAGATGATGCCTGCCTTAACAATGACACTAATGGGGAAAACAGACTTTGCTGGCAGGGGTGAGTCTTGTTCGTGGAAATAGCAGAGATAAAAAGACAGTTCCCAACCTGTTGTATCAGAGCATTTTTGTTAAATTTATTTTCTTGCAGGCGCGATATCCCCCGCTGTTTTCCCACTTGGGTGGTCAAGCTTGAACGAGACAAGACCAAAATGGCCAGGCACGCCAGGATCTTTTCTTTTTCGGCTCCAAACCCAAAATGTCACTCCAAAGAGGTACCTACCTGGGCGACCGTCCAGTCTCAGGCCCGCACCGCAGCACCTAAGGGTGCTTGTAGGCTTGACAACAGTAAAGGCCCCGCCGCCGTTGATCAGGAAGCCGTTTTTCATTGCTGGAATACCAAGCCATCCTCCTCGTTCACGTTCATAAAAAAACGAACGGCCGCGCCACGAGATGCCGAGTTGTTAGACTTCACCGGGCCATGCCGCTAGCCTCACCGCAATTGGCGTCATCCGATAGGTTCGTGCTGTGCCCGCTCCCACATTTGGCGGGACTAGGGTCCGTTTTCAACCACGCTAGGGGAGAGCGGGGGGATAGTTATCTGGCGGCCGGACTCACCACGATGCCACCTCACTTGGGTTTTCACCATTCACACCTTTATTTTTTATTAAATTTTTGATTCAATCTAGACCGAGACACACACAGTATTTCTGCGGAGCGGGTCGATTGGAAGAACGTGTGTGCTCTCCTGTGAGCGTGTTTTATTCTTCTTCTCCAAGTGGAATGCCCGTCTCTACCCGACATCTTTTTCTGGCCGTGGTTTGAGTACTGATTCCATAAGTCATCCAACGGGGGAAGATCATATCACAACATCGGACTGGTATTCCCTGTTCCCGTCTTGGTGGTCTCGGTTGACTTGTGTGACGGACATGTCGACT